GCAAAGTGGATTCGGCTTATTTCTGAAAGCCAAAATTTGATGGATGCTGTTAGGAATGAAAAAAAAAGAGAAAAATGAACACCATACTCTCTGTATATTTATTTACAACCATCCATCACATCATCGATACATTGTTACTTCACACAACAGATACATGCATTGACGTTGGGGTTGGTGTGTTGCTTTGAAAGGAGAAATGGTTATGGTAATGTTAACAAAAATCAATTATGAAGCTGAAAAGCGGTTGTTTACCCAAAAGTAATTTGAATAGCATAAATAAACCGCATATATATTGTAGCTTACATTGACCGTAAAATTATTTGTGATGTACAGTCACGGAACGTAAATCGCCTTGTTTATATCGTTGACAATGCAGATCAGTAGAGTTTTATTTATGACGTCATTAAAAACAAAATGTTTTACAATCTCCGCTCTAAAGTAAAGAACTGATGGTTTTCCCCCTAAATATTTAAAAAAAAAACAGTTATATGAGTTGCAGTAAGGTGATATGATTGCTAATAAGATAACGCCCCACCAGAGAACAAATGACGTAAATTAAATAACTATAGGTCACCCTTTAGCAATAAGCAAAATCCAAACTGCATATATGAAAAGGAATTGAAATAAAAAATGTAAAACAATTCATAGGAGAAAACTAACTGCCTTATTGATGTAAAAAAATATGACATAAAACGAAAATCGACAACCGCTGAAAAAGAGGCTACTGACTTGGGACTTGCACATACCGAGTGTGCCAGGGTTTAACATGTTTAACATGTTTGATGGCGTCAAACCCTCCCCATAATCTGGGATAGTGGTGCAACAGTACAACATAAGAACAAACTATATAAATCTTTTGAAAAGGACTAAACTCATCTGATCGATACCAAACAGAAAGACAACTAACAAAAACACACACTAAAAGAGGGACGAAAGATACCAGAGGGACAGTCAAACTCATAGATTGAAAATAAACTGAAAACGCCATGGCTAAAAATAAAAAGACAAGCAGACAAACAATAGTACAGAAGACACAACTAAACGTGACAGGGTAACTATTCATCACCAAAAAATCTACAAAGTACAGATCTCGGAGTACAAATAGCTAAATAATGTATCATGACTAATATCAATCAGTTCACACCCAAATTTGGTTTGAAGATAAACAGTCAGGGAAAAACCACGTGCTTGTGAAATGCCAAGTTCAAGGCATTGTCAGACTGTAGAAACATTAACATAAATATCAGTTCAACAATACTCATGGCTATATTTCAATTTATTTTGTATGGTCTTAATCTACAGATTAAAAAACCAATATTTATACCAACAAAAATAATATTTCAAGATCTTATCACAGTGTTGAATAGGTAACCCTTTAGAAAAACTTTCTCTAAATGTTCGATAATTTTGCCCGGATGGTATCTAAAATTCCAGGCTAGGTGAACAACATCTGCGTAAAAAAAGGATGTGCCATCCCGCACTATCAAACTTCCAAACCAAATCTTTGTATCTATGAAGAATAAGCGAATGTTTAAGTTTAAAGTAATGTGTAGACACAAAATCCATGACTAATCATTTACCAGTAATACATAGGTTACGTTTATCAAAATGAAAAATGTCACTACAGACACGGTCATAGAACATTTTACGAAAGGAATTTTTTCGATTGATTGTCATAGTTTGTTCTTATGTTGTACTGTTGCACTATATTCTAAGGTTATGGGGAGGTCAGATATGCTAGCAAACATGTTTAGTCTGATCATATTCTGTATGTGCCTGTCCCATGTCAGGAGCCTGTAGTTCAGTGGTTGTCATTTGTTCATGTCTGTCATATTTATTTTTTCATGCCGTCGCTTTTTAAAGCTGAATGTATGGTATGGCTTTCCTCATTGACGAAGGCCATACGGTTAATTTCATTGTCTATTTTCACTTTATTTGAAATTTGGTCGATTTTTGTCGCATTTGCGATCCTACCACATCTCTATACAAAAGCATTCTTGACGCTAAACTAATACTCGTTTCTAACCAATTGCACAAGCGTACATCAATAAACTATTATTTTCAATATAACTTTGCTTTATCATGTTTATAGGGGCATAAGCTACGAGATATATACAAAAAAAAAAGTTTTTTTTGTTCAATCGTAAATGAAAGTAAAATAGTGGAATAACAATTCGCTTTGAGCAGCCTGTTTGGTTCACTATCCTCAAATAAACTTAGAAACATCGATGATGAATTATACACTTGCAAGTGAATAATTCGACCTTATTGAACCCGTATCCATGTGACTTTCAATATAATACCTTAGATAAAGATTGATTACTCATTAACTAGACGTGTTTGGTTATTAAAACGAAAAGAATGTTAAAAATTGAAAGTGACACAATGATGAACCGTGTAATTGACTGATTCGATCAAAAAAAAAACTCTTTCTTATACAGGTACATGTAAATTAGATGATTTAAATATATTTTTAACCTCTGATATGAAATCAAACAGACCTAGAAAAATATAACTACATTAGTTCGGGTCGGGTTATATGTACGACGTCAGTCATCGGAAATCACTTCGATAGTCTATAAGATTGCGTCTAGGATAAAATGCACACAAAATACATATACATACACAATGTATTATCGAGTTATGTTATAAATCAAATATAAGAATTTAAGTCGAATCTGTGAACATGAAATTGATAGCTCATGCCCCTTTAAGACCCGTAGTTTATTTATAGCAGCATTTATTTGGTAGGTTCTGTCATTCGATTTTTTTTTTATCGTTTTAGGTTACTATAATACAAAACAACGAAATTTTATTCTAAATATTTCTATAACTACTTAATGCTTTAGATCCACGTCTTTTGTAGAAGCTACCATCTTGTGGAGAATGCTATGGACTTTTGCAACATTATAAGTGGTACCTTTATGACCAGTGGCAGTATAAAATTTTCAATTAAAGGGGCATTATTTTAAAATATAAATTTGCTTCTCCTGCTTTTTTGTTTTATTTGTAGTTTTACCAATATTTGGTATGATATATTCATCAATATTTAACATTGCTTTATAAACTTTTGAGCTTCTGTTGCAACGAGTTTTCAATTCACACATTATGAAATAAGGAAAATCAAAACTTAAATTAAAAAAGTCCGGTTTTTAAATGTGAGACGAACAAAAGAAAAAAGAATGCACTTTGTGATATAAGACGACCTGAAATTGAAATCTAGAAACGCCCTGTTGTAATGGTGACACAAGGAAACAGAAGAAAATAACTGATAAGGAATTCCAAGAGAAAGAAACTTTAAAAATGTAAAATACTCGATCAAACGAATACCTAAAAACAAAAGATTTCAAATTCTAATTGAGATCTAAACAATTTGATATTTTCAAGTTAACTAACTAGTGATAATGAATTATTTGGTCAGTATTCCAATCGATGATTTTTTGGAATGTTTTTTGTTATTCAAAGCTCAGTGAGCTATATATAGGTGAAACGTACGTATGCCAAAAAAAAAAGGATATAAGCTGTTTTGAATCTTTGATGACGATATATAGCCATTTATTGTTTATTCTTATTTCGAGAATTACTAATATCTTTTCGGTGTATAAACATGAATGACGCAAATAATAATAGAAACAACACAAAATCCTGTCATCTTCTTAATTTTCTGCATCACTGCAAAAAGTCTTCGATATAGCATAAATGAAAATTTACTGTTAAGGTGGTACCTAACACTACAGGGAGATAACTCTGTAAAAATCAGCTAAACGTTTTAATTACGTTGTATTGTTAAGGAAATATTAAGCTTCTCAATGATCAAAATTAGTGTTCGTCAAACTGCTATATAACCAAAGAAATTTTTCTGATAAAGTGGTTGGTTCAAATTTTTTGAAATTTTTATATTTTTGTCAAAGGGTCAAAGTAAACATTTTGTCAAAATTTTATGAAAATTAAACGAGCCAAATTAATATTAGTCAAGGTGTTGGGTACCACCTTAAGTCTATCTTGATGTGTTTTTTTTTTTGTTTTTTTTTGGCTAGAGATACATTTTGTTAGTCGACCCTTGAACTCTAAAGTTATGCGACTTTTAAATAATGTTTCACTGCAATACAGGGAGAAGTGAAAAACTATTAAGATACGAAACATATGAAAATCCATTTTAAAAGTTTTAACGTTTTATACAAATTCAACTTAGTATGTTAAATTCAATTAACATACAGATTGAATGGTTTATACCACAAACGACTTAAAGGTTATATTGAAGATAAAAGTAATTTGTTTCTATAAATAAAATGTTAATATTACATACATATTAACAACAAAATGTACAAATCTATATCAACTTATACGAACACTATATAAAGGTAAGCACGCATTAAAATTCTCTAACTTGTTTTAATTTATAACTCACTAATCGGAAATAATATTTTTTTTATGTTGTCATTTAACACTTTGGTTTGAGGTTAGGGTAAATGTAGGCGCCTGATGAAATGTTTAAACCAGCTGCATTGCAATGCATCTGCACTAAGTCAGGAGCCTGTTGTTCAGCGGTTGTCGTTTGTTGATATGTTTCATATGTGTTCCTAGTTTCTCGATTTTTTCCTAAATTAGGAATTAATTAATCTGTGTGTATTGTTAAACACTAGTCATTTTGGGGCCATTTATATTTTGCTGTTCGGAATGAGCAAAGGCCTATAATTGTTTAATACATGACTTGCATGGAGAGTTGTCTCATTGGCACTCATATTACATCTTCATATTTACATTAAGTTTTAAATCAAATCTTAGCACATTCTTCACAAATTGTATGTTTTATTTAACAAATGAATAGTTGTCTTAGTAAGAACTCATTCAATTATATTTTAAACATAAAAAAGATAAATACGTTATTGTTTTGAATGTCCAATTGTAATTCACCGTATTTAATTTGTATGCGAATTCATACCCAAAATTTATGACATAGCCGATTTACTATACCAGGAATTCAAAGTTGGCGATGAATGGAAAAAAATGCTGATACATTTTAACTTTAAACACATATTGTTTGCCTATTCTTTTACGAGGATGATTATACATCCCTTTATTTTAAGTATTATTTCTAAATAGTTCAAAATGAATAAAACATAGAAAGAACAATTGATACTTAAGCAGATTTTTATCAATGTGGATACTATGATAGAAGATGAGGACGAGACAGTAATGTTAATGTAAGGTAGGAAGTTTTAAATCTGTTTTGAAAAGATACGTGTACAACATTTCTTTATTTTAGTTTATACAAAAATTAAGGGATGCACATCACTTATTTTATGTACACGCGTAAAACAATTCAAAGACAATTCTAATTTATATTAAAACTTCATATTTTTCTTTCAACCTAAGATTGACTACCTATAAAATAAAGAGTAAGATTATGTGTAGATCACAATTGTCTCGTTGGCAATCATACCATTACTCCTTATTTTATAGATAGTCATTATTAGGTACAAAGAAATTTTAAATAAATATTTGGAAGGTCTTTTTATTTTTTTTAGAAAGTTTTTACCAACGAACATACACTCTACCATTCCGACTACTTTTGCAACTGCATGAACTGTCATAATTGACACTATGTTTGTACATTACTAAGGATTTAAAAAGCTGATTATTGTTCATCTACAAAAATGTATAGTTTGATTTTCATAAAGTATTTCCATTAGTATAGTACTTGATACATAAAAAAAAACCAACAGTATAACAAACTGCTAACATATTAAGTTTCTTAAAAAATATAACTTTGTTACCAAATACATAAACGATCAACAAAGTTACACTGCATGACTAACACCCATTCATAACAATTGTATTCATTTAAAGTCCTATTCATCTTATTGTTTAAATAAAACAGCTGTTGTTTAAATTTATAAAATTTTGTATGCATGACTCGCTATATAAAAGATTATTTGGAAAACACCATTTATAATGCATCCTGAAAGCATTATACTTGGCCATGTAATGCAGTTACAATATATTTAAAATCTATCGTTCCGCCCAAAACAAAGAGATAAAGTTTATCAAAGTATATATATAAACAATACACTATGAAGTACATAGCAATGAAAATAAAGACCACTGGTTACACTAGCAATTAGGATTATGTGATACAAAAACTCATCAAATTACAAGGCTAAATAATATTTGTTATCATATGATTAGAAATTTTCTGTTTTCTCATTGGCTAAGAAATCCTTTTTGATAAGATATTATGTTCACCACGGCAAAAATCACGAGAGGTTAATATAAGATTTGGAACAGCGTCCGTGTAACTAAATATAGATTTTACAAGGTAACGTCAATGACGTAGGTTTATGACGTCAAGTAAATTTCCGCATTTTCTTACTTTATCTTCTTGTTTTTGGTGAATTTTTTCTCTTCTTGTTTTTTTTTGTGTATTTTTTTTGTTAAGTAATTGTTATTTTAAATTTTGACTTATGAAAACTAGCAACAGAAAAAGCGGATGATATATAATTAGTATATAACAGGGAGCAGTTTTAACAGTATCTTGAGCAAATACTAAAAAATAAAGAAGGATGAAAAGTCATTTAATAAAGCAATTCTTGACTTTCGATTTCTTTTGATACGTTTTCTTTCTTTAATTAATAGTACAGGTTTAATGAAAAGTTATATCTCTCACCTCACTTTAAACATTGACTCTTTAGATGTCATTATTTACTATAACATTAAACCTTAAAGTCATATGAAACAAGTTACTGGTGAAAAATAATGTTTATCCAATTCTTAAACCAATGCATGTATATATCATTAACGTAGTCTTCTGTGTTCAATTTTATCGTTTATTACGTATCCATATCGTATATATATTTTTTTTTTACCTCGGTCTGTTATGATGTGAAATTATGGCAGCTAATTAGTTGTCGTGTTTTGAAGCTGTAGTTAACCGATTGTCACCTAAGTTACAATCAACTAAGAAGCATGGACATTGAGCACGTGTATAACATGTACAATAAGCGGATAACAGTTATTTTTAATGACAGATCCATGCGTGTTGCGACCACCTGATTTTTAACATTCCCGTAGAATGGACAAGTCTTAATCACAATATAATTTAACTTTTACAATAAGTAAACATTGTTGTACTTTTGTGAGCTTTTAATAAACACAGTATAATTTCTTTATAAAACATAAGGGTACATTTATATTTGTGATCTCCAACCTGTAAAATTGATAATTTGGTATGTTACATATCGATCATTAAAAATTCTGTATATACTTCATACACAACTGAACAATGAATGTTCTGAACAAAAACAATTTGAGATATATATTGACCGTTTTTAACACGTCAGTTATCAGAAAGAAATTTTTAAAGAACAGATCATCTTAAGTTCTTTCAAAAATTCCTTTCTCAACCAACTCTCAATGTAAAAATAAACAGACCAAGATGCATAGGGTTCATCTGAATACTCAGGGGAATGTACCTTATGGTTTCATCAACCTAGTTGTCAGCACTTTTATTATCATCCATATGGTCATAATTACAAATTAACTGTAAACAACTTTGATTTTTTTTTCGAAATACTAAGGACTTCCATCCCAAACAACAGATTACATAATCTGTATTTGTCAAAAACTGATTTTGAACGAGGAAATAGTCAGTTCAATAAATATAATTCATTTCTTATTTGTTTTTTGCTTTTTATTTGGCTTTGCTATTCTTTCTTGTTTACCATTTTTTCAGTATAAAATTGTAAATGGAAATTAGGAATATGTTAAAGAGACAATAACCCAATCATATAGCAGAAAACATTGATTATCAAACAATTCCCGTTACAAAATATGGCCTTCTTCGTCTTTCAACAAAATTGAACGTTTCAAGCAAGGTTTTATTTAAATAAAAGAGGAGATTTTTTGGTTTTAACTTTAAACGGATAACAAAGAAAGGAATTTAAAAAATCAGTGATTACGGGCATGGCAATTTGTACCTGGTGTTGTCAATATTTCTAGTTTAAAGTTGTTTCAATCATCTTAAAAATACAGTTGGTTAAATCGTTTTTCATTATTCAATGTTAGTTGCAGAGTAATGGTTTTGAAAATGACTTCGGTATCTGTCACCTCTTTTTTTTCACAGATGTAACGACAGATGATTAAAGTAAATTACACAAACTGAAAACACACGTCATACAAAGTCAACAAAACATGTGTCAGGGTCACTGAGCTCTTAGTTTTATAACATTGTAAACTGTACGTCTAATAGAGATAAGAAGATGTGGTATAAGTGCCAATGAGACAACTCTCCACCCAAGTCAAAATCTTTAAAAGTGAACCATAATTGGTCGTCAACACGGAGCCTTGGCTTAAATCGAACAGCAAGCTATAAAGAACAAATCTGGTGAATAAAAACACAAAACGTGGATTCAGAAATACTTTAAATTTCTTACTTTCCAAATTTTTAACAATAATTAAAAGACACCCTTACTAATTGGATTTATCTGTACTAACTAAGTTTCAATTATAATGACTATTTTCTCAGGTCACACATAACAATCCATTCATCCAGATTTGTTGATACAAAATTTATTCACACGGGAAATTCGAGTTAATTTGGCAATCATTAGGTATAAATGTATAAGTACAAGCACGTTTTTCACCAACTGCAATGTCATCTGATGTTTTTGTAACCTGTGATATATAAATATTCAATCATTAACTGTAAACAAGTTTAAATGTAGAATTCTTTATTTACAAATTGAAATACAAGCTGACACAATAACCTCAATACTATTATTCTGAATTTATGATTTTTCAAAATGTTAATCTACCTTTTTTTACTCATTTTTTACGATTTGTTAAAGAATTTTGAGGTTTTATTTATAAATTGTTTTTCATTAAATGTATTGTTCTTTATTATTTTTGTGATTTGTATTGATTTTGTTGGGTTTTCATTGTTAAATTCTTCTTGCACATGGTATACAATGACTTGAGGGTTATATTTATCCTAGTAAAGAATGATAAAAGGAGCATCTCGTTTCGTCTACATTGATCAAAACACAATTACCATTAGTAACCTTATACTATTTACAATTATATAGGTGTTCAATTCACAAGAGTGGTGATCTTTAATCATACCTAAGATGAATCATTTTGTTCTGGCAAATACTTTTAGTTAGTTTGAAAACAAACCCATCCCGAATGAAAGCAACGTATGCCATACAGATTACTATTGAAGGTTTTTCCCAGCCTACTTAATTAATCAACAGTATTGTTTTTGCTCTCTTCGATTACATGAGGAATTGATGAGGCTTATACTCATTTTATTATTCATTTAAAGTCATATGAAACGAGTGACTGGTGAAAAATAATGTTTTCCCAATTCTTGAACCAATGCATAAACTTAGTCTTCTGTGCATGATTTTATCATTTTTGACGCATCCATATCGTATAATCGTAAAATAAATTTTCTCTCGGTCTGTTATGAGGTGAAAATATGGCAGCTAATTAATTGTCGTGTTTTCAAACCAAAGTTTACCGATTGTCACCTGAGTAAATAACCAACGAAGAAGAATTGATATTGAGCACGTGTATAACATGTACAATAAGATAATAGTTTATTCCAATGACAGATCCATGCGTATTGCGATCACCGGGATTTTATAAGAAAGGTCACGCTGAGTTCAGTGCATACGGAAAACATATCGGCGAATTGTTTACTGGAAGCAAACAATTAAAAAAAAAGAATTTCTTCTAAATTTGGAAAAAATATAGAATTTTCTTGAGAAAAAAGTACATGTACATAAGTTTTATAATTAATACTAGCCATTAAGTTATAAAAACCATATGCATATATTTTTTTTTAAATTTAAAGTTTCATATGACTTAAAAAAAAGAATTTGTCTGAAAAAAGTATGAAATGTGGTGCTTTTGATTAAATGTGAAAACGAACTCCATTTTACTGAAACAATATTTGTTTTCGGGGGAAAGGAAAAATGTCATGTATGTATCTTGTTAAATGTTTCCCACTTTTTTAAAAGCCTAACCTGACAAATGAAATGTTTTTTTTTTGTAAGGAAAATGAAAATTTCCAAAGAAGAAATATAAAAGTTGTAAGCATGCCGATACATAATGACTTGCTAACGGACCGTTGTGTATTCATATTAATTTAAGACTGTATCGTTGTAGTTCAAAGATGACTTTAAGACAATACTTCAGTTTGATCGTATGTCTAATTGGATTCAACACCAAAGGGGAACAAGGTTATTATGAATAATCTTTCTTAATACAGATTCGTACACATAACAAAACGGACTACAAAGAACAACAGCCCATACCAATCACCACCATGGTCATCTTTAGAAAAGTAGCAGGCAACTGTATTTAGCCAATGTGCAAATCTCATACTGTGGTTTCATTTATTTTCGTGGGTACCAATTTTCGTGGACGAAGGATCATTTACATTTTCGTGGATATTTTATTTCGTGCTTCTGCCGAGGTCTGCATACACGCCTGAAGATTTTTACGTTCATTCGTTGAACATTTAATTTCGTGGTTCAACTGTACCCACGAAATCAACGATATTGATATCCAACGAATAATAATGTATTAAGTTAATCGATAACGAGGATGCAAATCAATATAAACAGGAAAAAGTAATGGAAATATATGAGCCCTGAAATACCGTGACCGGTTGCGTCGAAAGGGTATATGTTTCGTGATATACATGCAACACCGCCAATGCATTTCTATACTCATTTCATAATCGGGATAAGAACGTTACATGTAGCTGTAAAATTAAATACATTTCCCGTTTTGTCATTTAAGATCATGTGTATTTAAAGTGAAACGCATAATATGAAAACCTGCAGAATGAACACTCATTTTAGCAAAGAAAGAAAACATAATTCAAAAACAGTATCTAAATGAGCACTTTACTTTAAGTAGCTAGCATATGCACTATACGTTAAGTAGCTAACATGTGCACTATGCGTTAAGTACGTAGCTAACATGTGCACTATACGTTGAGTAGCTAAATAAACAGTTACGGCTGGATATTTAACGCTGTCTCTTGTTATCAGTCTAAAGAAATGTGTAATATATATTTGGAAGGTACTGACTAAATTTTAATGAAACTAGACAATTCTTATTATTGGCTATAAAGTAGCAACGGAGGGTGGGTGTAACGAAATTTTGCATTTATTCTACTTAATCATTAGTGTCGCTATGAAGTTAAACTTAAGCTTATCATAAATGTCATTTATATAAAGTGTTACATTTTACTTTGGCTTTTTGCAAATGTTGAACCTTAATTAAATATGAAAAAGAAAACAATCATTGATCTCTTTTATATTCTGAAAAAATATAAATGAATTCTTCCAAAACAGATGAATATTTGTACTGAAAGCATACAAAATCGGCAAAAAACGTTTTCAGATTGTTTTGAAATCCTAAAATCTTCAATTTCGAAGGCATAGATGAGTTAGGAATGATTATTTAATGTTGATTCACACATTTCCGTTTGATTGATATAAAAGAGTACTCGGGTCACCGACTTTTTTTAACGTATTAATCAATCTGTTACCTAGTTGATACATGTAGTAGAATTTCGGAAAAAATCGACGTTTAACGGCAAACAGGTCGATGAAATTACGCTTATTTCAAAATTTTAAATTATTGATTTACATAGAACACCACTTTCAATGAGGTGTATCATCTAATATTTTTTTTAAATCATTGAATTTCCTTCATCACCATTTAATTTAAAAGGAAAGTCTGATATTTGGTAATTGTAGATTATAATGTTATGTGCTTTCATTAAAAATGTGCATCTATTTTCTAATGTGTAATTTTGTATTATTTTAGAAAATAGCACCGATATATATTATATTTTTTAAACCAAAAGACATTGATTTTTTATAAAAATCTATGATATATTCAATTTCCAGTATAAGATACTGTATAAAGTATTTGAAAGAACCATGATGATCATCATATTAACCTCAGGGTATCACAAGCCCAGTAGCCAGCAGTTTTGTGTTGACTTGAGTTATTGATATGTTCATAATTATAAATTAACTGTTAACAAAACATTGAATTTTTGAAATACTGAGTCTTTTCTACCTCAGGAATAGATTACCTTACCTTTGGCAAAACTTTTAGGAATTTTTGGTCCTCAATGCTTTTCAACTTCGTACTTTATTTGGCCTTTTTAACATTTGTTTATTCGAGCGTCACTGATGAGTCTTTTGTAAACGAAACGCACGTCTGGCGTAAATATAAAATTTCAATCCTGGTATCTATGATGAGTTTATTTATTATTAATGATATATTTATGTGTTGTTTCAGTGTTCTTAAGTTTGAAAACAAATACGGTTTCGCTTGATGGAGATATAGTATTGACTTGCACAGTAGATGGAGCAAAGAAAATCGACATAAAAACAACGAGACAGTGGTCCATGGGAGACAATGACGAACTTTTGTGCTACAACGGCCGAATAAATAATATAAAAAAGTACGAAGAAAAGGTTCTTCAAACGAATGAATTTAGTCTTAAAATATTTAATATAACAGAATCTGATCTCAACATAGTTTACCAATGTCGTTATGGATTTTATGCAGCAAGTAAATTAATTGAGGCAGATGAATCACACAAATTTTGTAAGTATGGGGTCTCATGTGAACAAAATGGCTTTTGATAACTTTTTTATACGATCGTCGCAAATGCGTCTTTTTGCAAAAAGTATGCAATATTCGATATACTAAGTATTTTTTTTATCCTAGTCATAGATTACCGTTGCCGTATTTGGCACAACTTTTGGGAATTTTGGGTCCTAAGTGCTTTTCAACTTTAATTGTTTGGCTTTTTATCTATTTTGATGCAAGCTTTACTGATGAGTTTTATGTCGACTAAACGCGCGGCAGGCGTATCCAATCATAAGCCTAGTACCTTGGTAACTATATACACCACTGGTTTGATGCTACTGCTGGTGTACATTTCGTCATCGTGAGTATCACCTGCCTAGCAGTCAGAATTTCGGTGTAGGCCTGAATATCAATAATATGGTCTTTATATAAATTTACTTTTTGCTAAATTAGGAATTATTTGAAATACTAAGGATTTTCCTATCCCAGGCATAGATTACCTTAGACGTATTCGGCACAAATTTTTGAAATTTTGGGTCCTCTATTCTTTTCAATTTTATACCTTTTTGGCCAGTGTCACAGATGAGTCTTGTGTAGATGAAACGCGCGTCTGGCGCATCGAATTATAAGCCCGGTAGGTTGATAACTATTAACACCACTGGGTCGATGACACTGCTGGTGTACGTTTTGTCACCGAGGGTATCATCAGCCTAGTAGTCAGCACTTTGGTGTAAGCATTCATATCAATTATATGGGTCTTTTTTTTTAAATAAATTTACTGTTTGCAAAAGTATGAATTATTTGAAATACCTAAGATTTTCTTATCCCACGCATATATTACCTCAGCCGTATTTGGCACAATAATATGGAATTTTGGGTCCTCTATCCTCTTCAACTATACACTTGTTTGGCTTTCTAACTATTTTGATCTGAGTGTCCCTGATTTGTCGTATGTACACAAAATGCATGTCTGGCGTTTCATATTATAAGAATGGTACCTTGATAACTATACGAAACTCGCGTCTGGAGTACACAAAAAAGGCAACCTGTCGTCACACAGATCATCCTTCTTTTCGAGTTTTCGATTTTATAAACCAGTTGGTCTCTTGAATAGGTAAATGAGATTTGACCATTTGTAACTTATGGTCTTTTAATTTGCAACAACGTCAAGTATAGCATGAGCAGGATATATATTTGTATATTAAATGTACTTTGTTTTTAAAAAAAAATGATAATGGTTAAAACTGCCCTGCATTTGCATTCTGAAATGCATATATCGACACTCCCTCTACATTGAGTAATTATCTAATTTTTTTTTAATTTCCAATGTTTTGAAAAAAAATCCAATGAACTGTAGTGAAATTGGCAGCTTCATGACATAGAATAATTTCTCGGTCAAATTAATTTCTTTGTTCTTCACCCCCAGTTTTTTTCGGTGGAGTTCGGTTCTCTCAGTCTTTAGCTTTTTATGTTGCGTTTTGTGTACTATAAATCGTCTGTTTGTCTTTTACTTTTAAAGCCATGGCCTGTTATTTTTTTTCTCACAGTTTGAATGTTCCTCTGTTATCTTTATCCTCACTTTTAGAGCAACGTTTGCATTGTTTATGCCAATTCCATTTTTATTGGTTATTTCAATTAAGTTTTTTTATTGCCTATTAATTTTTTGGTCGTGTGGTCTAGCGCGTCGGATACAGTGCAGGCGATTTGGTGTCACGATATCTCAGTAGCATGAGTTCGAATCCCGGCGAGGCAAGAACAAAAAATTTGCGAAAGCAAATTTACGGATCTAACATTGTTGGGCTGATGTTTAGACGAGTTGTATATATATGTTGTATATATATATATATATATATAAGTCTAAATTGAAAACAACGTTCAAACCTATGATTGCGTTGGATAAAAACCGCAATTTTTATACGTGTGCATGCAAAACAAATTTCTTGGTAGAGGGGTCTAAATACAGCACAAACAACATTTTCCAAAAGACCAAAAATGTGAAAAAGTATATTTTAACAAAACGCATTTGACTAGCAGGTCGAACAACTGATGTTCTTAAACCCTGCTGACTGCCATTGGCGATTGCCAAATAAACGGATCACAAGATATAACAAAATGGATCTTATTATTAATTTATTACCAAACAGAAAACAATAAACTTGCGGAAAAGATGGTATACCGCAAACATGAGGTGCAAAAATTTGTACACTATATCCGGATTTCGACAATTAATGTCTCTTCAGTGATGTTAGGGATCGAAACAGTATTTGGAAGGCCATATAATTTACCTCAATTTAGGATAGACTCTTGAATTTTAAAGAGTCGAAATAGGTTGAACGGATCATATAAACCCGAACGAAATTATAATACAAGCCCAAACGAAAAAATATAAACAAGTCTAAATTGAAAACAACGTTCAAACCTATGATTGCGTTGGATAAAAACCGCAATTTTTATACGTGTGCATGCAAAACAAATTTCTTGGTAGAGGGGTCTAAATACAGCACAAACAACATTTTCCAAAAGACCAAAAATGTAAAAAGGTTTTTTTTAACAAAACGCATTTGACTAGCAGGCCGAACAACTGATGTTCTTAAACCCTGCTGACTGCCATTGGCGATTGCCAAATAAACGGATCACAAGATATAACAAAATGGATCTTATTATTAATTTATTACCAAACAGAAAACAATAAACTTGCGGAAAAGATGGTATACCGCAAACATGAGGTGCAAAAATTTGTACACTATATCCGGATTTCGACAATTAATGTCTCTTCAGTGATGTTAGGGATCGAAACAGTATTTGGAAGGCCATATAATTTACCTCAATTTAGGATAGACTCTTGAATTTTAAAGAGTCGAAATAGGTTGAACGGATCATATAAACCCGAACGAAAATATAATACAAGCCCAAACGAAAAAATATAAACAAGTCTAAATTGAAAACAACGTTCAAACCTATGATTGCGTTGGATAAAAACCGCAATTTTTATACGTGTGCATGCAAAACAAATTTCTTGGTAGAGGGGTCTAAATACAGCACAAACAACATTTTCCAAAAGACCAAAAATGTAAAAAGGTTTTTTTTAACAAAACGCATTTGACTAGCAGGTCGAACAACTGATGTTCTTAAACCCTGCTGACTGCCATTGGCGATTGCCAAATAAACGGATCACAAGATATAACAAAATGGATCTTATTATTAATTTATTACCAAACAGAAAACAATAAACTTGCGGAAAAGATGGTATACCGCAAACATGAGGTGCAAAAATTTGTACACTATATCCGGATTTCGACAATTAATGTCTCTTCAGTGATGTTAGGGATCGAAACAGTATTTGGAAGGCCATATAATTTACCTCAATTTAGGATAGACTCTTGAATTTTAAAGAGTCGAAATAGGTTGAACGGATCATATAAACCCGAACGAAAATATAATACAAGCCCAAACGAAAAAATATAAACAAGTCTAAATTGAAAACAACGTTCAAACCTATGATTGCGTTGGATAAAAACCGCAATTTTTATACGTGTGCATGCAAAACAAATTTCTTGGTAGAGGGGTCTAAATACAGCACAAACAACATTTTCCAAAAGACCAAAAATGTAAAAAGGTTTTTTTTAACAAAACGCATTTGACTAGCAGGTCGAACAACTGATGTTCTTAAACCCTGCTGACTGCCATTGGCGATTGCCAAATAAACGGATCACAAGATATAACAAAATGGATCTAATTATTAATTTATTACCAAACAGAAAACAATAAACTTGCGGAAAAGATGGTATACCGCAAACATGAGGTGCAAAAATTTGTACACTATATCCGGATTTCGACAATTAATGTCTCTTCAGTGATGTTAGGGATCGAAACAGTATTTGGAAGGCCATATAATTTACCTCAATTTAGGATAGACTCTTGAATTTTAAAGAGTCGAAATAGGTTGAACGGATCATATAAACCCGAACGAAAATATAATACAAGCCCAAACGAAAAAATATAAACAAGTCTAAATTGAAAACAACGTTCAAACCTATGATTGCGTTGGATAAAAACCGCAATTTTTATACGTGTGCATGCAAAACAAATTTCTTGGTAGAGGGGTCTAAATACAGCACAAACAACATTTTCCAAAAGACCAAAAATGTGAAAAAGTATATTTTAACAAAACGCATTTGACTAGCAGGTCGAACAACTGATGTTCTTAAACCCTGCTGACTGCCATTGGCGATTGCCAAATAAACGGATCACAAGATATAACAAATGGATCTTATTATTAATTTATTACCAAACAGAAAACAATGAATTTTCGGAAAAGATGGTATACCGCAAACATGAGGTGCAAACATTTGTACACCATATCCGGATTTCGACAATTAATGTCTCTTCAGTGATGTTTATATATATACATATATTTATGCTATTTTTCATATAGCTTTTGTGCATCTCATGTGTTTTTCTATGAGACCGTCATCAGAAAAAAAAAATAGACGAAAAAACCTAAGGGATTATCAAATCAACTGACAATGCCAAAAAAGATACAACGACAACAATGAATACGGTGTAGTGTAGTTCTATCAATACACTCATGCTAGATACCAGTATTAACATTTTGTACGACAGATGCACTTGTATACAAAAGATACATCAGTTACGCTTGACTTCAAAAAATTTAAAAAACCAAATGAAGAGTCAGCCTCTTCGAAATAACTGTTATGAAAGGAGCGTGTCGCATTGGGTTTTTTCTCTTAGTTTTATTTTATATGTATACTTTGGCAAACTAAAGTATAATCTAGTTTTTATGTCAGCTTTATTCGTACTTTTATTAAATTTTGACAAAGTTATATGAACTGAATAGAGGGGGATTTATAGGGTTTTCAGGGGGCCCGCTCCACACCCCCCCCCCCCCCTTCCTTTGTGTGAAAAAATTGGTTGATTATATAGGAAATGACTGGAGCGGGGCCCCCTCTTAGGCAGTCAGTGAGCAACCTTTTGAAAATTTCAGGATCCGCCACTGCTGACAACAACACGTAATACATTTCATTCCTTTGAAGCACTCTTTGGGATTTGCCTCTATCCTGAACGCCCAATGCCGAATGGTTGAAAGCCCTGGATGTATAAGAACCGAATCAGTTCCTCAAATCCATCAAATATCAACTTTTTCTGAGGAAATTTAAACCTTGGTTTCTTTTCAAACTGTAAAATGGTAACCCGACAATAATAAGGGTTTTGTTTTTAAATCATGCAAGCAACGGCGAAATGATTACTGAGCGAATGATACCCGCAGGGACTGATAGTCAATCATCATCTATATCTACCCAGTGCTGTAATAAATATAATTTTACAAAATAAACATATTATTGATAGGATTGAGTTATCTTAATAGGTTTTGTTTTGATTTTTATTTTCAGTATCATTAAGATTGGTAACTGATTTGATTATATTTGGAAAATATATCATACTGACATGCACCATAAATGGGATAAGCAAAGTAGAAAATGACGTACCGAGACAGTGGTCAATGGGAAATGAAGACCAACTATTAAGCTACAATGGTAGAATAAACAATGATAGAAAGTATAAAGAAACCATTTTTCCAGGGAATGAGTTCAGTCTTAAAATATTCAATGTAACAGCAGCAGATGTAAATAAAACTTACCGATGTCGATACGGCTTCGATGCAACCAGCATATTCATCAAACTAAATGAATATAACTATGTTAGTAGGTACCAAATATGATACAAAATCCATATTTTATTTATTTTTATTTGGATTTGCATTAATCTTATATCATTCAGAAAAGGAATAAAAAATAAATCTGCACATTTTAAAAACAAATCATAAATGATTACACTCGTATACAAATATGAACTCAACATTTTGTTTCTAATATACAACTTTGAATATTTTAGATCCGCCGAAGCCGGCGTCTACAATTATAAAGTATTTATTGGACAAACAGATGGATACAATTAATATATCGGTTTATTTTAAGAGAGTGTTTCCTCTTCCGAATTGCTCAGTAAATATCGACGTAAGTATAAAGATCTATTGCTGGACATGTCTTTTGACATTTATATAAGCTTCAAAAGGTATAGCAAAAAGTAAAATCACAAAAATACTGAACGCCGAGGAAAAGTCAAACTGGAAAGTCCCTAATCAAGTGGCAAAATCAAACGCTCAAACACATCAAACTAATGGATAACTACTGTCATTTTCCTGACTTGGTAGATGCATTTTCTTATGTAGGAAATGGTGGATTGACCCTGGTTTTATAGCTAGCTAAACCTGTCACTTGTATGACAGTTGCATTAAATTGCATTGTATTGACAACAATGTGTGAACAAAACAAACAGACATAATAGGTAAAAATGTCAAAAAGGGGGTACAGCAGTCAACATTGTGTTATAATCTTAATCACAATAAAAACAAACAAATATTTAACAAAGAAGTACAAAAAGGCATTCTCTTGAACTGAATTTTAATGTGCGTATTGTTATGCGTTTACTTTTCTACATTGGCTAGAGGTATAGGGGGAGGGTTGAGATCTCATAAACATGTTTAACCCCGCCGCATTTTTGCGCCTGTCCCAAGTCAGGAGCCTCTAGCCTTTGTCAGTCTTGTATTATTTTTAATTGTAGTTTCTTGTGTACAATTTGGAGTTTAGTATGGCGTTCATTATCACTGAACTAGTATATATATTTGTTTAGGGGCCAGCTAAAGGACGCCTCCGGGTGCGGGAATTTCTCGCTGCATTGAAGACCTGTTGGTGACCTTCTGCTGTTGTCTGTTCTATGGTCGGGTTGTTGTCTCTTTGACACATTCCCCATTTCCATTCTCAATTTTATTAATTTTATATATCAAATTTAACAACCTCATTTATTGCTTTCGTATTTAATTATTTTTTTTTGTATGTACGTTAAATCCACCGTTAAAGGATTGGAAGATTTAAAGTAGTTGAACCGAATTGTTAGATTAACATTAACTCTGACGTAGAATTGCGCTTTTGACATCAGAATGTAAACGTCAAAAGGGTAGATATATAAAACAAATATATATCAACATGAAATGTCTGTAAATTTGTAACAAGATTTTTAACAATAACTGGTTTTGAAAGGAATGGCAATATTGTTGCTGTTCTTCATCTTGCTGTAACAATCATAAATAGTGTATTGTTTCTGACCATCATCTTCAGATGGCAATCAAATTGGTGAATCTGTAAATTACTACAACGGTAGCAATTCTAGAAGATTGTAAATCCTTAAAATTGAGTACATGTATTATCCAGGCCGTAATAAGTATTTCGTTGTCAGCAAATTCTGTCATTATACTAACTTGTGAACATATCTCTTAAAAAATTGTTGTATACTACTGAAAGTGATGTGCAACTATCTTAGGAGGTTGATATAGCAATATCGTCATAGCGGTCAATGATGATCCAGTATCAATTGAAGTCGTTTTTAACTCTAAAGAGACAGTATTTGATTAACATGATTAAGGACCACAGTCCTATGAACGAGGTCCGTATAAAAATTAAAATACTCCTGCATAACAAGTTTCGACTCGATAGTATCTAATATTCAGTACGATAGGGAACCACTCACAGAATGGTAAAAGGCAGGATTCCGGTGTTATTATTTGTTATTTGTAAGGCATTGTAGAGTATAGAAACACAAGTTGCTATGTTCGATTCTCCTTCAGTTAGATATAACTCATTTAATCAATTATATGCATAGAGATACAAATACAAGTATTGCAAAAAACGATATAAATTGAATCGTCATGTATCTATCTTTCTTTTTATTGTGTTCAGTAATTAACTGAGAACAATTTTGATGTGTATTCGTATTTATTTCTTCATTAAGTTTTAAAAAATTCGTCTATTTATTTTTATGGTTCTTTTAAGAGAAGGAGAACATATAAGTAAAACGATCAGTTGCATTTAGATTGATGTTTTAATAAAACAGGATTGTTATTTTTATTTGCTTAAAACAAGGCAACCGGCTTTGAATTAATTGACCTACAACAGCATGATGTAGACATGGATGTTAACTTAAGTCTTAGTTTGCAGAGAATAGTCGCATGTAGCCGTTCATTAAACATATCTTGTAATGTTGCAAGAAAACAATATGATGTAGGGTATCTAAAACTAAAAGATGAATGTTCTTCAAAAGGTAAGATTAGTTTGAAATTCAAATACGATTTAATCATACAGAAGATTTATATCTGTATAATTATTTTACACTTTCGAAATATTCGAAAGCATGTCTTACTGGTCTATAACTTGGTATTCATAAACACGTTTTAAACAAACGGAATTGAGAGAGGCGAAATCTACCAGTATACCGAGGGACATTCAAACTCATCAGTCGAATATAAAATGACGTTTTGTATAAAAGAAATAAAATACAAGACAAGACAAACAACAACAACAACAGTACACAAAACATAACAAAACTAAAGACTGAGCCACACTTATCCCACTAAAAACTTTGCGTGATCTCAGTTGCTCTGGAAGGATGATAAGATCATTCTTCAGATGTGAAACCTATCGTGCTAATACAGCGTCGGTTCTAGACAACCAAACACCGTAAATTCAACAAATATAAACTAGGAAAAACAAAATGCTTTTTCTTGGAATCAAATATAATGCTTTTTATTTTGTGTTTTTTTCATGTTTCATATTTTATTATCCAAATCGTGTCTGTTTTTGGATTTTTATACGAGCTAATATTTACTGTGTTTTTGTCGTTCAAGAAAAGATAATCATATATTTCCCAGAGCATTATTAATGAAAAAGACGCTCTTATTTCAAAGTTTTGTATGACGTTTTTTAAATAATTTGTAATCACAGTAACATGGTAAACCTAATTCGACATGCAATTTATTGATGTGTTGCTCAACAGTATGAACGTCCTTTGTCTTCTGTCAGTTATATCAACAAAACAAGTATATTGAATACTCTACAATTAGTCATGGTTCAATGGTCTTTATCTAACTTTTGATTTTGATTGTTCCATTGCTGGTTTTGTTTTTACAATATTTTGCTTTATGAAAGGCTGATCAAATTAGAGTTTCAGTGTTGCCATATAAACTGTCTTTATATAGTTAGTTAATTATAAGTCTACACATAATAAAATTACATTAGTTTTTTGTCGTATTCTTGAATTTATGTATCATTATAAACTATCATTAAATCCTTCTCATTTTTTTTCTGGCCTTCTGATGTTCATGTAACGTCTTGTACCCGTACTTTCTTATAACATGATATTCTCTTTTCCTTTTTTCAGGTGCATTCGATGCAATGATCATCTTACTGATTATACTGATTTCTATAGTTTTGATTTTGATATTACTTCTAGTGTTAATCAAACGATTGGTACTAGATGTAAGAAAAAATCAAAAGAAAGGTAATTTAACTAAACCTCAGGAGATATCAAATACTTGTTTTAAAAAAACCTTTGTTCTAATTTTGTCTTTTGATGGAAGTGATAATTCTGTCAGTCTCTGACATTGGTTATAAATGTACATAGGGAACATACCATTGCTTCTATTTGGATACGATATATTTATATTAGAGCAGTACATTTTCAAATTCAAATTGTTAGACTTTAACATTTAAAAAAATGGTCGACATTTTTACCACTGTCCCAGGTTAGGGGAGGGTTGGGATCCCGCTTAAAAGGTTTAGCCCCGCAACATTCTCTATGTATGTACCTGTCCCAAGTCAGGAGCCAGTGGTTGTCGTTTGTTAAATCGTTACATTTTTGTTGTTCGTTCATTTTTTGTATATAAATTAGGCCGTTAGTTTTTTCGTTTGAATTGTTTTACATTGTTATTTCGGGGCCTGTTATAGCTGACTATACGGTATGGGCTATGCGTATCGTTGAAGGCCGTGCGGTGACCTATAGTTATTTATTTCTGTGTCATTTTGGTCTCTTGTAGAGAGTTGTCTCATTGGCAATCATACCACATCTTCTTTTTTTTTATATTTAAGGCAAAAACCATGATTTGTTTGCTTCCAAATTGTCATCTATTTATCGAACGTGACAAATTTTTGAAACAAATTACAGAAAATGGTCTTACATGAGCAACACATTGAGGTGCAATGTCGAGTAGAATATGCGTTTGATTGGTAATCACCTAAGATCACACCCGTTTTTCTGTTGGTTTGGTGTTGCTTCATATTTTATGTTATATGCTGTGATTTGTAGACTTTATTATACTGTTCGTTTTATTTTTTTCGTATTAGAGTTGTTGCCAGTTTGTCTTCGACCTCATTTTTACTTTTCGATTTTTCTTCTAATAGCCTCAATTCTTATTGCATCCGATTTAAGACTGAATAGTTATTTCAAAGAACACATTAAGTTTCATCAACAAAAGGGGATTCAAATTTGATTTTCGTCGATTTTAACGTGACATCAAAACCAGCTGTTATGACGATCAATCTGGTCTTTCAAGTTTATATTTTACATAGTGTAATATGAAATAGGAAAATGATATGATATAATTGTCATAGAGACAACCTTCAACCATTGGTCATTCAGATAAGAAAAACTAACGACCGAAGTTATTACAAAACAATTTAAGAAAAACAAATATATTACTTTTTCAGATACAACATGTTCAAAGGATCAGAACCAAACCGAAAGCAAGACGGAAAGTGAAAAAATTCTTCCATTGTCTGAAGGTAACGAAAATAGCTATGAATCAAAACAAAACTGATCAAGGGATTTCAATAATTTTTTTTAAAGTATTACAATGTCAAAGCTTAATTATTACGAAAATAAGTAGACATATTTGCACTGAGTACTTTATTTTATCAATCTCAATTGATGTTGTATTCAACTGATGCTTTTGTGACGATTAATTGACAATATACGGAAAGTCAACAGTAGCATACTGCTGTTCAATACTCATCAATCGATTAAGCAAAAACAAATCCTATAAAAAACCATGTAAAAACAAAACTGTCAATAGATATAGGAAGATGTGGTATGAGTGCCAATGAGACAACTCTCCATCCAAGTAACAATTTATAAAAGTAAACCATTATAGGTCAAGGTACGGCCTTCAACACGGAGCATTGGCTCACACCGAACAGCATGTTTTTCTGCTTATAAACGGTTTTCCATTTAGTTTCTTTAAGCCAACGAGCCATTCAACATTTATACACCTAATTACGATGCCCCTCTTCTTGCCGACTTGTTTCTTTATTATTATGAGGCTGATTTAATACAGTAAATTCTTAGGAAGAAAGATAAGAAGATAGCAATATCCTTTAACTTTACGTTCCGCTATATAGATGATGTGCTCTCACTAAATAATTCAAAATTTGGTGACTATGTTGAACGATTCTATCCCATCGAACTAGAAATAAAGGATACTACAGATACATTTAAGTCTGCCTCATATCTTGACTTGATCCCAATTGATACGATATTCCCGGGCTTGTATTTCCTATCATTATTTCCTTGATAGAGGATTGCTGCTCACAAGGAAGCTATTAAACCTAGAGTTCCAAATGTTGATGTTGAAGTCATACCTTCGTAAATTTTACGGACGCCATCACAAGTTGGTTGACCGTTATGGAAAAACCGTTTCACAGATGATATCGTATATGTTCCTTCTGTTGTAACTACAATACCCCTTCCCTTTTCACGAATGTGACCTACCGAATTAGACTATTTACCGGATTTGTAATAACATAAGCAACACGACGGGTGCCACATGTGGAGCAGGATTTGTTTACCCTTCCGGAGCACCTGAGATCACCCCAGTTTTTGGTGGAGTTCGTGTTGCTTAGTCTTTAGTTTTCCATGATGTGTCTTCTGTACTTTTATTTGTCTGTTTGTCTTTTTATTTGTCTTTTTATTTTTTAGCCATGGCGTTGTCAGTGTATTTTCAATCTATGAGTTTGACTGTCCCTCTGGTATCTTTCGCCCCTCTTTTATTCATTCGAAATGGGTTTTTTGTCATGATGAGAGAGGTATTTAGTTTCATATAAGAACACGCTTTCTTTACATTATTACTCAACACATGTAACGTTCTGATTGGTTTCCTGCGGTTAAGATTATATTGGCTTTAAAAAAAAATTACAAGGAAACTACACATGTAACGGATAACAACTAATGTATGGAAGATCAATCGAGCATTGAACAAAATGACAGTATGGGTATTCGACGACATGTAGGAAAAATCAAAGTTATATGATCGAGACTGGTACACATTGTTAAAATTATGGCATCAAGTCACGACCATGATAAACATAGTTCAGTCTTTTTGAATACCAACGAAAACTTCACGTTTTCTTTTTAGATACCTAAGATCTTGCCATAAATATCCATGGAAATGATTTGTCCATAAACGTTCATGGTTACTTTTTAATGAATAAAAATGTCTGATATGTACCATTTGTATTTAACTTTTGTCTGCTTTGTTCATGTGTCATGCACAGTTTGCATACACATTATTGATACTCTTAAAAACTACCATTTTGCAATATCAAAAAATCATCAAATAAAGGCAGCAGTAGTATAAAGTAAAATCCCAAAAATACTGAACTCCGAGGAAAATTCAAAACGAAAAATTCCTAATCAAATGGCAAAATCTCAAAAGCTGAAACACATCAAACGAATGGATATGAACTGTCATATTCTTGACTTGGTAAATGCATTTTCTTATGTAGAAAATGGTGGATTGAGCCTGGTTTTATAGCTATCTAAACCATTCACTAGTATGACAGTCGCAACAAATTCCAAGTACTGCTGTTCGAAAGTCATAAATCGATTGAGACAAAAACAAATCGGGGTTACAAACTTAAACCGAGGGAAACACATCAACTATATGAGGAAAACAACGAAAACAACAGAATAACTGAAGTGAACAAAAACAAACGACAATGCAACACACACAGAAACGAACTATAAGATAACAACTGCCATTTTCCGGACTTGGTACAGGATATTTTAAGAAAAAATGGTGTGTTGAACCTTATCAATTTCCTGCCTCATTTTTTTTTAATTCAATGTCTTTATAATCCTTGTTATGGTGAATCAATTTATGATAAATTGTTTTTTTTTTATTATCTTCTTTTACCTCAAAAGCCAAGATGTGTTCAATGGTTTGAAATGTCATCAGTTTTCAGTTTACAGCATAAATATGACTACACACTTTGCACTCCAAAAATATGAATAAAATGCTCCAAGTGAAATTGAAAATAAGAACTACTTAAGAGGAGTAGGGTTAAATTATATTTTTCTAGAATTAAAGGTACTAACTTATTGTTGTGACTGAAATCTTCAAAAAAAATGTTTAAAAATAGAGTATTCATGACGTCATGAAAAAATAAAAAAAATACTGGAAATATAAATCCTCTTACACGTTTCTGTGTTCTTCTTCGCCATACAAAACTTGGCGAATCAAGTGCATCATGAGCTGATTTGTAATGGAATGTTAACATCACATTATAAGTTTGTAGATAGAGATGGAATTGGGAAAATTATGAAAGGAAACGAAACAAATTACTTAACAAATATGAAAACCACATCTAAACAAAATATCACCAGTCTACAACAAAACCATTGCTTGGTGAATCGGCTTCCTACTAGGATGAAAAACTTGGAGAAATATATATTAAAACTTACGCAATTCACGAATGGCGTAAAAAGGCTATATATTCAAGTAGTGTTGCGATTTTTGATAAAAACCCCAAGGTTTTATTTGTCAATGTGTCACAAACAAGCTGATGATGTTGTCTCTCAAAAACTTCAACGTATCAGTACCAATAGGTATAAAGATATTTGACTGAAAAGGAAGTTTGCCGTAAATGTCAATTTCCGTGTCTTGAATTTGTTTTTTGAAAAATACATTCCTGGAGAAACTGATGCAATATATCAAAACGACGCATTGCATTGTGTGAAAGCAGTAAAAACAGCACTGCAAAAGTTGCACCTGGACCCGCAAACTCTAAGAGAGAATTTTTGTCATCTAAAATAAGTTTTAAAGTGGAACCTGTCTCAACTCATATTCTTTATACAATAAAAATTATAACAATGATCCAACGAAATTCAAGTAACCAACTCGGAATGTAGTTGACTATTACAAAAACAGGCATGTATCGTCTGATTCTTTCACTAGTTATAGATATAATACAATTATGAACTATCAAGGATAGTTTTGACTGATCCAATGGCTAAAAAATTGCTTCTTGTAGGACATTTTTAAGCATCATTGGGACTATATTTCAGGAAAAAGTAAAATAACATAAATTCCAAACTCCGAGGAAAATTCTAAACGGAAATTCCCTATGCAAATAGCAAAATCAAAAGCTAAAACACATCAAACGAATGGATACCAACTACCATATTCCTGACTTGGTACAGGCATTTCCTCATGTAGAAAATTATTGATTGCAAATACGCTAAAATCCACTTCATTTGAGCTTTTGTTGGTAGTTGTCTTATTGGTAATTATTCCACTTTTTATTTCTACAATGACCTTATCATCTTTGCTGTCTGATATAAAAAGTTGATTATTCAATAAGTATTATTTGGATGGCTGGTCAGAGGTCATTCAGCTTTCGAATGATTCTTTTGATAAACCACATAGCACTACCTTCATGATCTATTTTTCAATTAGTCATACACTTGAATTTGTTATCATAATTTATTATCATCGAAACTAAATAACAGTGCAAGATACAGAAACAGATGTTTCTGCTTAGGTTTTCAAATATTGAAAAGAAACAAAAACAGCTGAAAATAAAAAGTTGATATTCCTGTTTAGTTGTGCAGTGAATTATTGAATGAATTATCTTCTAAACGATATATAGTGCAAATATCATTTGCAAAGTTTATTTTGACATTGGAAATAGGTTCCTGTGTGATGAAATAACTATTTCGTTATTTATCAAGCTTATATCATGTTCGTGTCATATTGCAATGAAAACATGATGTTGAATTTTAATCATTTCAAAGTTTAAAAATTACTTATCAATACAAATGGTGTTTACAACGTAGAACTTTTTGGGAAAACAGTTTGTTTGTTTTAAATTTAATGACCTGGTCATGTCGCACGTAATGAAATTTAAAAAAAAACAAAACATATCTTTTAAAGTGAAAGTCTAATTTATGGAATACATGTGAGATAAATCATTTGTTATTTATCAAGAATATAAGTTTGACACCGATTTTGACATTCACTAACATATACTGAAAAATTGTTTTGAACAGTAGTATTTGTTTAATGTTTTAAATATGCACCCATAATTATGTTTAAAGAATTAATGTGTTCTAATAATTACTAATTTTGATAATATTGGACAGCAATTGACAAGCTATTACCTTGTGTTATTGCCCATTCACTTGTTTCTGTGTTCATACGATGCAGATTTCATATATGAGATTTCTTGAAAGAGTGAAACAAACTAGCATAACAAATTAATTGCACACTGAACTATAACGGTTATGTCCTTTCTTATAATAATGAAAAGTGTTGTGACAACGTTGAACGCATTTATATCAGCAAACTTAAAACTACAGAATACCACATATAAAGTTAAGTTTGCTCCATATCTTGACAAACTTCTAGAAAATTACAACTATTCCCGACTTAAGCAACGGTTTCAGATTAGTAATAAGGTCTTTCCACTTTTCTGTGGAAAGACCTATTGTATTTGTCCTGATTATT